CCACACATCCATCCACCCATCCACACATCCACCCACCATCCATCCACCCATCCATCCACCCACCATCTACCCATCCACCATCCATCCACCCATTCACCATCCACCCATCCATCCACCCACCATCCACCCATCCACCCATCCATCCTCCACCCACTCATCCACCCACCATCCCTCCCTCCCCATCCATCCGTCACAAGTGTGCCTTCTATATGTGAATATGAAGTCTGGAGCTGGCTGGGCCCTGGGTCCTCTTCTCCAGTGCCTGGTTTTGCATGGTAGAAACCTCAGCTGGCTCAAGGAAGGGACAGCAAGGTAGACCCCCTCCCCGTCCCCCTCAAGGCACTGTCTCCTTCCTGGGTGCCAGCACTGCGAGGGGAGCCTCCCCCAACTCCTGCCTGCTGTGAGCAGCCCTAACTCCAGCCTGAGCCCAGGGGGAGAGGGTCGTCCTATGCCCTCCGTGCCCGCTCCTCCTCCCTCTCCAGAGAGAAGACGAGTGCCCGGCGGCTGACAGCACAATCTGGGGCAGAGGCAATGTCTTCCTAGGGAGGCCCGGGGGAGAGAGCTGGGACCCATCAGCAAAGTACGATAAGGGGCCGCCGAAACGTTAGCAAAAATATTTAGACAATAAATGAAGTATCGGAAAGGCGGGCGTATCTCTCAGAAATCAATCATCCTGCATGGTGTGTCTGGACGCTCGGCGCCAAGGCAGAGATAGGGCCTGCTGGGGAGATAAGGGTTAATCGAGGGTGGATTCTGCAGGAGACAGAGCAGGGAGCTGCTTCCTCTCAGCCCCTCTGCAAGGGCCCAGCGGCGTCTCTGCTTGGCTCCCTGCACTGGACACGTCTTGGCCTGGGAGGGCTCCTGCCCTCGGCGGGTCTGGCCAGGCGGACCTGGCCTGGGGCCCAAGGACAACCCTGGGGGGGCAGGCGCCCGGGGAGGTTCCCGCGGGAGGCTGTCTGGGAACCTGCAGGTCACTGGGTATTCTCCAGCCCCCCCTGCTATTTGATCCTGGTCACTTGGGCAAGCCACGAGCCTCTGGGGACTCAGTTTTGTCATCTGTAAAATGGGGGCAGTGGACCCCTCAGAGGGCAGGGCCACACGTGGATAGCATGCGGAGTGGGCCTGTCCATCCAGCAAGGGGTGCCCCAGGCCCAGCCTGGCCCTCCTGCCTTTGCCCTGGTCACTGCGGACAGGTTCTCGGGCGCACTGGGAGTGCAGGGGTGGACCCCCAGAGCCTCTGTCCTGCCCCCCAGCACCGCCTCTCAGCACCCCTGGGTCCTGCGGAGCCTGCTCACCTCCACGCAGCCCAGGGCAGCACCAAGCCCCCTCTCCCACACAGGGCTTCTGCACAGTGGCAGCCCACGGACGACCCTGCCAGGGGCAGGCACTACCCTGGTTTCTCCCCTCTAAACCGCCTGGGCCCTGTGGGTGGGCTGCGGCTGGCTGCTCGGTCCAGTCTCCTCCCGAGGCAGGCGGAGGGTCCCAAAGGCTGAAAAATGGAGCCTCAGGCTGGGCGGGGCCTTCCTGGGATCCGCAGCAGGGACGGCCTGGAGCAGGGACAGCCTGGGTCCCCGGCAGCACCTGTGGCTGAAAGGCTGTGCTGGAGGCTCAGCAGCCTCAGCGGGGCTGCGTGTGAACCTGGAGAGGCCTGGCCCGGCTCTGACCCCCACTCGGCTGGAGGGGCCGTGAGCGGGGCCCGGGCTGTGCCCTGCTCTTATTGCCAGACACTGCTGCGCCTGAGTCCCGGAGCCTCCAGGGCCTCCCCAGGCTGAGAGTGGGCACCACAGCAGGGCAGTGTTCTGCTTTCAGGTGACGTCCCGCCAAGCAGCTCCATCCTCGCCTGCACAGGGCGCCAAGAAGGCCACCTCAGACCCTCAGGACCAAGAAACCCAAGATCCTGGACACTGGCCAGTCCGTGCCTACCCTGGATCAAGCCACACCTGAGCACCACACCAGGAAATAAAAAGGGCTCAGGATGTGCCCACGCGCACACACTGGGGCACCGAGCCTGGGCCTGGGGGCTGCGGCTCTGCTCCCTGACGCCCACGTGCACAGGTCTGCAGCTGCTGCCCCCTGCTGCCCCTGCTCTGGCCCAGTGCGCTCGGCGAGGGCTGCCTTCCTCAGCTGAGGCACATCTGGAAGGGACCTTGGTGGCCCAGCAAGAGACCAGCCTGACCCACCCCGAACAGGGGGACCTCAGAAGCAGACCCAGCCAACGCGTGGGACCGGGTCTGCCTCAGAAGGCCCTGCCAGGCAGGGGGGCCTGTGACCAGGCACCAGGTGGCGGGTCCCCAGCAGGATGGTCACTGCTGTCAGGAGGAGCCGCGGAGGCTCTGGCCTTCCAGGCCCTGCCGCGTCCCGGTGAGGTGAGGCCCTCCTGCTGCTCCCTGGGATGCCTCCTGCCAGGGCTGGGGCTGGCCCCCGTCCCGACGTCCCAGAGGTCCTGCGTCCCCCAGTGCTCCCAGCACCTCAGGTCCCGTCCCCTGACAGGCTCTGCACCCATGGCCAGAGCTCCTGGCTGGCTCTGGGGGCCGAGGGGCCCACACCCGTGGGTGGGCAGCGGCTCCGTGGGCTGGTCAGGGGGGGCTCCTTACCGGTTCTGCGGGCCGGGGGGACGAGGCTCTGGTCTGGATGCTCCCCTGGAACGGGCCCCAGGACAGGCCCTCGGCGAGGCTGAGTCGGGCCTGCACGCACCTCCGCCCGTCCCGCAGCACCAGCTCCAGCTCCTCTGCGGAGAGACGTGGGGTCAGGTGGGCCTGGACGGGTGATGCCGGCGCCTCCCGCTGGGCCACACCCATGTCCGCAGCTCCCAGGCCCCCAGAGCAGCTGGGTTGGGGGACAGAGAGGGAGGGTGGCCGGAGCCCGGGGTTCTGGGGCAGCTTGGCCCTGGGGGGACTCCGGAGCCCGGTGGCTGCGGACACAACGGCAGGGAGCCCTGTCGGCCACCTTGGCCAGGGAGGGGCTGCGGGACCCGACGACACTGCAGGGCGCCGAGGGGCTGGGTGGCCTGCGGTGTGCGGATCGGGGCTGTGAGGGGAGCTCATCCTGGATCAGCGGGGCCTCGGTCCCATGGAAGGAGTCTCTACAGAGGCCCAGGGGGCAGCTGGCCGCCCCGCAGGGCGTGGCCACGAGGGACGGAGCGCCAGGACCTGGGAGAGGCCACACGGCTCCCAGGGCCTCTGGGGGCGCCTGTGCCCTGAGCCGGCGGCTTCTGGCCTCCAGAGGCGAGGGACGTGAGAGGGACAATCTCGCCGTCTTCACCTCACGTTGCTCAGGGTGGGTGGCCACAGGACGCTCACATGCCTGGCTGTCACCACCCTCCCTGGCCGGCCACCTCCTGCCTCACCTGCCTCGGGGTTGCCAGGTCCAGGGAGGCCTCACATGGCCCAGCCCAGTCCCCGGGCCCAAGTGCGGCGGCGGCGGCCGGCTTCCTGGAGCCCCGGGCAGCTGCGGCCTTAATGGGCGCGATCATCAGGTAGCCGCTGCCTAATGGCAGAGATAAGGTGCAAATATGCCAGGAGGCCCGCGGACCGTCCACGGGGCCTTTGTCTTCCTCGGGCCAGATAAGATGGCAGCGGCCCAGCACCCGGAGGGAGGGGCCCCCTTATCAGTGCGAGGAGCCAGGGGCTGGAGGGGCCTCAGGGTGGGCTCCACTCCGCTCCTGTGGCCCGCCCCAGCCTCCACCAGCCCACCCAGGACGCCGGGGCCTGGCCTCCACAGACTCGGCACAGAGTGGACACTAGGATGGGCATCGTCAGGGTTGGGAGGAAGCCTGGACAGTACCGTGTGGTCTCGGGAGCACAGTGTCCTGCACTGATGAGGAAACAGGCCCTGAGAGGCCCCGGATGGCAGTGGGTCCAGGTGTACCCGACACCTGACGGCAGGTGGCCACGCTGTCCCTGGGTGGACAGCTGGGCTCGGCCCCTGTCCTGGCTATGTCTACGTCTCTGGTCCCCAGCGGCCGGCATCAGGGGACCTACGGGGGCTCACAGGTGCCCACTTGCCCATCAGTCTGTACAGCACCCCCCTCCGCCCAGTGAAGCACCCGTGTCCCCGGGCCCTGCTGGGGCCCTGCAGGGACAAGCAAGAGTCCCCACAACTCAGCATGTGAGGAGCGCGGCAGCTGGCCCGGGTCACCCAAGGGTGAGGTGTGGACAGTTCAGCCCTCTCTCCCAGCCTGCAGTGTCCACGGGCCCCTGCCTGTCACACCGCGGCCAGGAGAGGGCCCGGGGCCGGTCCTGCCCAGCCTGGTGGGGAAGTGCAAGAGGCAGAGCCGGGCCCCGCCTGCCACTCGGCCTAATCGGAGCCTGCGGCCATGGCCAGCCTCCCAGATAGCAGTGTGGCCAGCGTCTCCCACGGTGGCTGCCCTGCTTCCCGGGTATCAGCCCCACCAGGGAGGGCTGGTGCTGATAAAGACGGCACTGCCCCGGCCTGGGCAGGACCAGGGCTTGCTGGGGCCAGTAGAGGACGGGGTCCTGTGGAGCCTAGCTCGTGGGGCTGGGGACCTACACTGGTCATCACCATGCCCACCTCCCTGGCCAGGGTCCAGATGGGCCATCTGAAGGCTGTGCATTGACACGTCACCTCCTGTGAGTGGCCGCAGGGCCACACAGGCACCTGGACGTGAGGGGAGCACAGTGGCTTCAGCCTCAGTTCATCCCAGGGCCTTGTGCAGGGACAGCCCCTGCCACTGCCCAGAGGCCTTGGTGATGTTCAATGTCCTGTGCTCAGACTACCTCTCTGTCCCCTCAGTCCTGCCCCAGCCTCATCCAAAGCACCGTCCGGCCGCTAGAGCCCCGTGGCTCCTGGTGGCACTTTTCCCAGCCAGAGGCCACACTGCATCTGGACAGTGGGGCTGGCCGAGGCTGAAAGCTCCCAGCAGCTGGCACCTTGTGGGGCTCAGTCTCAGGCTGAGGATGGGCTGGGGACAGGTGCCGCCTGGGGGGAGCTGGCGGGAGACTAGTGGGCACAGATGGCCAGTGACCCTGGGGCCCGAGGAATGGCTGCAGCTCAGAAGGTGTGTGGGGCTCACGCAAGCCGCAGCCTCATGGGGCCGCAGCCAGTGACTGACGCCTGTCCCCCCATACCCAGCTGAAGACCAGGCGAGGCCTCTGCCCAGGAGTGCCCGTCCTGCCACAATCCCTGGCGAGTGAGTGCCTGGCCCGACTTATGGAGAAGGGGGGCTCAGAGAGGACAAGCAACCAGCCCCAGGGAGTCCAGCAGGTGTGGGGATTTGAACCAGAGCCCCAGCCCTGCTCACAGCCAGGACTCCAGACCCCCTGCCAGGCACTGTGCCGTCTTGTGGCTGTCCCCTCGGTTTCCCCGTCTGCAGACTGGCCTCCTCTGAGGTGGCCCAGCCTGTGCTGCCCACCGGGGGCTGGACCCCCACTCCAGGCGCAGCACCAGGACAGGGCTGATTCACACAGATGGACAGTGTCCCTCACGATCACAGAACTGCCCTGGGCTGGGCTCCAGTCTGCAGGCTTTGCATGTTGATGTGACGTCCCCGACCTGGGTCTCAAGCCCTGATGACACCCGGGACTGTGGAGCCCAAGACAGGCAGCTCCCTGGCCAAGCAGGGAGCCCTGGGCAGGGCCGGGCAGGACAAGCAGGCTGCAGCGGGTCCTGCCTCGTGGGCTGGTGCCCGTGTATGCTCCGCCCGAGCCTCCCCTCGCCCTGCACAGGCTGGCGTCCTAGCACCCCAGACACACAGTGGGTAAAGCCTGGGGCTCCTCTGCTGTGACCTTGGGCCACTGGGTCCTGTCCCTAAGGCCGGAGAGCCCTGATGCCGCTGCTGCACAGCACACAGTTCCCAGCCCTGGGGTGCCCGCTTCCCACGGGCACGGCAGCGGCTGTGGGAGGCCCAGGAGTGCCAGCAAGTGGCTTATGGTCAGGTAGCCAGGAGTGGACCAGTCGGACAAGACCACTGCGCACTCAGCCCCCCCTCCTCCCGGGCCTCCTCGTCCCCGGCCTCCTCGTCCCTGCTGGCGGCTGGCAGGCTGTGTGTGAGCTTGGGCTCCCTCCTGTACCTGCTGGGCCCTCTCTGCTGCTGGAATCGGGCTCTTGAGCACAACGTCCAGCTGCCTGAAGCCCCCGCCCTGAACAGTGGGCTCTGTGGTCGGCATGTGGGTGCCCACGGGTGCCCAGTTATCTAATCGGCCATCACCCCTGCCCGCCCCGCCCTGTGGCCCGCAGGCCAGCTGGGGAGTGGCCCTATCTCAGGGATCGCACTGTTTGCCTTTGATAGAAGTCAGAAAAAGAAAGAAAAAGGAGTGCGGGGGAGGGAGGAAAGTCCCAGGCTGGCAAGGTTCTAGAAGACTCTGGGTGTGGGCAGAGTGGGCATGCCTGGGAGGCCAGCAGGCAGACTGTGTGGACCCCAAGGACACCTGCTTCCACCCCGAACAAACATGAAAGCAAGGCCCAGAAAGGGCAAGCGACTCCCTAAGGCTACACAGCAGACTGGGAGGTGGGGATCAGCTGGGCTGAGTACTCCCTGGATCAAACCATACCTGAGCACCATGTCAGGATACAAAAGGGGCCTGCACTGGATTCCAGTTCTGTCCCTGTGGCCACAGCACCTCTGGAGAGGCCCTGTCCATTGCAGGCCACAAGCTCCAGAGTGACTATCGGGAGCAGCACAGCGTGGGAGAATATGGGGAGAGTGGCCATGTCCCCTGCTCTCCACTGAAGGCCTGTAGAGAGGCCAAGGACTTTCCCGAGGTTGTGTGTCCAGCAGGAAGCAAGCAGAGCGGAGCCCAGGCTGCTGGCCCCAACCCAGTGAGCGGGCGAGGAGGCTGCTCTGCGGCCCCCCACTCAGAGCTTCTGGTGCAGGGGCGCGAGTGAGCCCGGGCAGCGGTGGCCTGATGTGACCGCTCGGCAGAGCACAGGCCGAGGGAACTGCTGGCCCCCGACCGGAGCACCAGCAAGGGAGGCGGAGCCCCTCCAAGGCAGGGACTGGCCCTCGGAGAGCCGGGTTCCCACCCTGTCCCCAGGGGCCTGGAGTGCTGGCGGGAGGGTCTGTGTTGCCCGCCGACTGCATGCAAACACGGGTCAGCGGTCATCACTGAGACTCTGACCTTCATGCCATTTAGGATTCTAGCTGAGCTGGGAAACTGGACCCTGGGCTCCCGTAGGCCATGAGAGGCCTGGAGCCCAGGACAGTGCACGTCCTGCCCACCTGCTGTGCTGACCATCACGTGGGCATGCCTCATTCAGTGGTCAGTCTTGGTCACTATTATCAAGAGCTGGGTGCTGTGGACATGACCATGGACAGCCCACTACCGGATACAGTGCCCCTCGGCAGCGCCAACTGTGGCTCTCACCCGCCTGCCCACCTGGCCAGGTCTGCTCAGTGTCTGCACCCTCTGGGCTGGGCCAGGTCTGCACCCTCTGGGCTGGGCACTGCCCTGGGTGGAGCTGGCAGGTGAGTGACAGTCTGAGAACCAGTGGCTGCAAGATGGTGCACAGCGGTGCTAGGGCTGTGGGTGGAGGTGCAGCGCTTGCCACGGCCTGGGCTGGGAGGGCTGGCCCACAAGGTGCTGCCTGGACGCGGGAGCCTCAGCAGCCCGGTCCTGCCTGTGTCCCAGGAGCAGTGAATCCCGTCTCAGGGTTCCAAGTGTGGGCACCTCCATGGGGCATTGGGAGCCCTGTCTCCCTCTGTGAATTGTCTGCCCCCTAGACCGCTGGCCCTTGAAGGAGGCCAGTCGTGCCTGGACACAGTGAAGTGGC